TAAGAAATTGCACTGAGCTTATTTTTGTGCATACAAGTACTTTCTGTGATGTAAAGGGAATTAATGTCAAGGCATGAGATGATGATAGATTTCAAATGCTTCCTACTAGGGTAATGTGTTTGGGGATGTGAGTTAGAAGACACTGAACACCATATAGCTTCTCCCCTCCAGCTGCTTTTTTTACCATTTTATGCTCTTAAGGAACAGATTAGCATCTCTTCTGCAGATCTTCTAGTTTTTCCATACTGGAAAGCTCTGTGCTGGGACAAGATAAATGATGACATTATTTGATTAAATAAGGGCTTCTGTGTAAGATAAATGATCTGTCTTCAGATTATTATATGAAGACTTTTGGAAAAATACTAATTCTTGTCCTGAAGTTTTTGTCTTCAGCAGACTGTTGGGAGCTTACGGAGAAGATGGAGTCAGACTCTTGTTGGAGGTGCATAGTGAAAGGGTCAGGGGGAGCATGCACAAGATGCAGTATTGGAAATGCTGATTGGATATTAGGAAACTTTTTTTTCATGCAGTATTTTGTTATACATTGGAATAGGTTGCCTGGAGAGGCTGCAGAGTATCTATCCTTACAGATATTCAAAGCTTGGCTGGTTGTCATCCTGACCAACCTGATCAAAAAGATGGCTTCAGCTTTTGAAGTTGGCTATACTATATGAGCAAGAACGGACCAGGTAGCCCACCTCCAGATGTCTCTTACAACTGTAATTAATATATGATCTCTGCAGTTCAAATTTCTAAGCAGTGAGATGTGAGAATTCACATACATGCTAACTCGATTTTCTTTGGTTTTGCTTGTTAACATGGGGAAGAATAGGCATCTAGCTAACAAAACGATGGTTAGGAAAAAGAAAGTTCTGTGTGGAATTGTACTTAACAAGGTTGCCACATCAGAGCATTTTTGGATACATGTTTTTTGATCTCTTGGACTTTAGAAGTGTTCTACTAACATTTTCTTAGGGCTTTGGGGAGAAATCAGGGAACTTACAGAGCATTTTCTATTCTGTCAGTTTTATAGGACTTGATATAAAGTGACTTTTGGAGTAAGACCAACCATGATGGAGGCATGTAGCAAGCTCCTAACATTTAAATTTGTTTAATACTGATAAGGACCTTAAGCAGTAAATACTCTTTGAGGATTTGAACAGCTAAGCTTGGATAAAGTCATGTTAGATTAAAATGGACAATTATCTCTTGAGCTTTGTATTACTAAATTTAGTATCAGGCAGTCTACTAATTCTATTGATTATTAGTTTAAAGTAATTCTATAACAAGCTTTGCTTGAGAGTGGTACTGTGGTACAGATGTTTGTGTGAATAAAACTTTGAAGGTCACATAAACAATTTTCAACTTTCAAGCTTTTAAAAACAATGTTGAAGTAAAAGGTTGTGTTCCTTTTAGAAATAACACTGATGCTAGTAATACAAATTCCAACCTTTTAACTTTTTCTTCATTACTATTATATTGCTTGCCTTTCTGGTGTTGGCTTTTTTTCCTTTTTTTGGGGGGGGCCAGGGTAAAGGGAACTGTAAGTTGTTTTGCCCAATTGATTGGGAATGAAGGAAAAAAATCCCTGTGTTCCTGTTTGTTTTGTTTTTCCTCGTAAATTGTGTTTGTAAGTAAATCTTTATCTGTCCATCTGCACATGTTAATTACTTCTATCTGAATAATGAAACTTAAGAGAACACAGACCTACTCAATATAGCTATCTTTATTTTTAAAGGGCTTCTCAGTGCTTTGCTTTGTGGAGTTAGAATTAAGGTTAAGCTTATCCAACTTTTGTTATGCAGTTTTACCCTGCCTTTTGGAGTTGAATATACCTGCAGCATGTTTTGGGGTAATTGTGGTAGTACACTCAACAGCAGTAGTTTTGGATTTCCTAGGTAGTATTGGAGATGTCTTTGTTTATCAATGTCCGTGATACCAAAAGAAGCCCCTTTCTTAAGGAACAGTCTGGTGCACCCGTAAGCTGCTGTTTGTAATAGCCAAACTTTTCTTGGTTAGTTGCTTGTATTGCCACCCCCCATGCTTGCTCCAAAAAACTAAACAAAAGAATTCAGAGGGTCTTTTTCAACATTAAGTTTTTTCTTCAAGTTATTCCGATAGAATTACGTTGGATTGTGATGCATTTTACTTAATAATCGCTGAAAGTCATCTTGTTCATCAGCATTTCACGTTAGTCCCAAAATAAAGTTGCAGGTGTAGCAGTCTGATCACTTTGCATATACAGAAGTGATTTGGGGAAGCTATTCTTGGTTTACATTTGCCTGCAAGACAGTGTCTATATGAGGAAATAGCCATTCACACAACAGTCACTTCTGGGCAGCACAGGCTGAAGGGTAGGATAACCCTGTGCTAGCCTGTTCCCCTGTCTATGTGATACCCTAATGTGTTGGGGTGGTGAGAAGGCACTGTTTTTAAAGTTTCCTTACTGAGTGTTGTAGGTTGTGGGCTGGCTGCCCAGTTGACGACTAAGTTAGTAGTGCCTACTTGGTGTGCCTTGAAGCAGCTATGAGGCACCTGGACATAGTGATAGATGAGAGGTCAGTGCATTTTGGGTAGGAAAGCAATTTGCTACGGTTGCCGTTTGTTGCTTATTTCAGCTTCGTTTTCCCTAGCTTTTACCTGTCCCTTTGCAACATATCTGTTCTCCTCCAAACTTTTCTATTGAAAAAAGTTTTCAGTCAGACTGCAGTTTTGTAATAGGAGGTAGACTTCTCGTTTCCTTGTTCCACCTTTCCTCCATGCAGCAACATGGTCTTTGACTATGGAAGTGATCACACTATTTCAAATGTTAATTTTGCAATAGCGGGGTGAATTGTTTAAGATGGAAGCTCTTGAAAAAATTCTACGGAATTTTTGTTTGTTCTTTAGTACAGAAAGCAATGTGGGATTTTTGTCTTAATTTATGGGAACAGCAAGAGACCAAAATGTGGAAGTCGTCCTCATTTTTCAGGAGAGTAAAATTTTGAACAATTTCACATTCCTGAAATTTTCTAGAAAGTAATCACCTGCAAGGTTTTTTTTGTGCAATGATCAAAACACATGCTTAAAACAGTCTAATTAAGAATATTAAAAGAAGCTGATAATATATAATGCTCTATTACTAGAAATATGTTTGAGTTTCTCTTAGGAAAAAGTAGTTCCTGCAAAAATCAAACACTTTGAGGATGAATAAAAATGTTTAACTATATAAAGTTGCACCAGGCAGCTTTGAATGGGGTGTGGTGAGTGATGGAGCTATTTTTGAAACTAGCACTTTTGTTTTCCCTATACATAAAATTATTGTATCACGATGGTATGAATAACTGGCCATTGTTAATGGTGCCACCTAGCCATAGTACACATCAGGTGCATTGATTTATATTTAGGTGTCACATTTGCATTCATTTCTCTGGGAATTTTATTGTGCATAATAGTTGTGGAGGGTGGAGATCAGGCTGACCAGGAGGGGCTGAGTGTTCTTCTTGGAAAGAGCTCACAAAAGAAAAGTCTCTCTCTATAAATAGGACTGATGAATGCTTCAACAAATTAATCTGTTTTCCACTCTTACATGGAAACAAATAGCTTTTAATATGCTTAATTTCAGATTTGGTTATAGTGCCAATCAGTCAACTCTAATTAAAACTAGCGTTGGAAGTCTGTCAAGAATCGGGTCTTGTAATTTGAAAAGGAATCTTGACCAAATTAATTAAACGTTGAACTTACTCATGCATTATTACTGATTCTTGCTTAGTCTTTTTACTCATGTAGCACTGTAAAAATACTGCTTTATAAAAGTTTTGTGTATCTTTTTGGGCTTAGAGATGGATTTCTTGGAAAACAAGTTTGACATACTACCACTTTTTATTTCTCTAAAGCTCTGTAAGTGCCAGAACTTTCCAGTACCCTTCATCTAGTGTGTGTGTGCTATACACACATATATATGTGCATGTATGCACAACTCCTAGGGCTTGCTTGTGTTCTATAAATTTGCTGAATTTGCATCTCTCTAAGAGCTGGAAAGCCACTTCCTTTTCCTTTTGTTAACGTCAGTCTTCTGTAATAACTCTCCTACAGTATGAAACAAAGTATTTAGTGTTAACTTCCAGGCTTATAGTTAATGTGTGTCTTCCTCAGATTGTTTAAAAATGAGTTGGAAAGTTTATTGCACATGCTAACTCCATTACAGGAGGCATGGTAGTAATATGTTTGTAACAGTCTGTTGATTGATTTCTGTTTGCCAAGTTGTTGATGCTAGTATTGCCTTAATGTGAAAGGTCAAAGGAAAAGAAGATATTGAAAGTACATGTTTTAAAGAGCAGTAAGTATTAATTTGAGGACGTGCTACCTAAATTTATTAAAAAATTCTAGAATAGACACTCCCCCAACCTTCTCTCTAAGTTATTTGATGTTTTGGCATATGCTTTCAAATACAAGTTCCTTTATTGCTCCTAAACTGATAGTAAATTAATGGTATAGTTGAACATCAGGTTCACCTAGACGCGTCACATGCTACTTGAAGACATACTGGCAATTCATTCAAGCAGAGAAAACTACTTGCACACTCTACGTGATAGGGAATTTCTTAAGTTTATAAACTGAACTAGGAGATTACGTCTTGCCATTGTAATGACTACCCTGATATGAATCCCTGCAAACAAGAGGAGTATCATGTAATTTTTCTGCCTTGCCCTGTTGTTTAGCATGTAGCTTCTTTCGGTGTTACAGGTCAAGCTTGTGTTTCTGTATTATTTGTTTCACAACAGAGTTCTTAAGCTGGGCTATATTCTTACTCAGTTTATCAGGGAAATTAGTATAGCACTAGTTCCTTGACACCGGGGAAGGACAGAAAGGAAATTGTAACATTAGTTCACTAAAGGCAGTTTTGCCAAGTGCTTTTGGGTTTCTTTTTGTCAAACTCCTTGTCTTTTTGACTGAGATGCTAAATTTGGGCAGGAGGTCATTCTTTGTTTAACAGTTTCCTTTTAAACTTTCTTGAAAAGGCCACAGAGCTGTGTATATCGGAGTTCATGTCCCATTTGGAAAGCAAGGCCGTCGACGGCACAGACATCGTGGGCACAGGCATCACAGAAGAAAAAAAGAAAAAGAGACTGACAGAGAGGATGGCCGAGAATCTCCATCATATGGTAAGAAATCTGTCGTGCAAGTTCTTTGTGTCTCTTGAAAATAAACTTACAGTAGTTACCCTGTGCTTAAAACGTTGTTTTGTGCTATTTCTTTTTTTTTTCACTGTGATTAATGTCTTTCTACATTCAGTCAGGCAAGGATTTTGTGGTTGTGTTTTATCTAAATTATAAGCTGATGGAATTCATTCAGGTGTCTGAGTGACTGTTCAGCAGCCTGCACTGAACAGGTTAGAGTAGAGCTTTGTAATCCTCGCATGTAGCATGAAAATCTGTGTTATTTAAATTAGACACATTTTTTCAGATTGTGTAGTCCTGTCATACTCTTCCTCTGTCACTCAACATTTTTGAAATGAAAACAACTGTGAAACAGCATCTGCCATAGTAGTTTGATCAATAATCCATTAAAATATTTGCTTCAGCCTTCTTGCTATCTGTTAGTAGTACTGCCTCCTAAGTTTCAGTTTTGGATCAGACGCTGCTCTCCTGGCCCACCACTTATCCTTAAGAGATGATTTTGTCATATTCTCTGCAATGAAACTATTTAGCAGTACTCTTAGCAGTTTTTCTTAAAGACCTCAAACCCGCTTTTATTCCTAGACTGTAATGAATGCGAAAGTTATGGTGCAATGTTCCACTTCAAACATGGATGCCACGCTGTTCACTGTCACTTTTCTATGACTAGAACAATGTTCTACACGGGGCCAGTTCCCTGAAACAAAGGAGTTTTCAAATGGGAATGCATTCCCAAGTCCCCTTTTACTGTTCTCCTACAGTTTTTAGCTTCATCCATCTTCAAAACTTCCCCTCCCAAATACAAATTATTATCGTTTGATCTTATGTTTGTAGAGTCTTGCTGTACAGGTTCTTAAGCAGCAAGTAATATTAGATAGATAGAAATTCACTTCTCTCTTCTGGTCACTTCTCTATCCTGGATACACAGGATATGGCAGGATTCTTGGCATATGTTGGTTTTGGGACAGAAACAATCTGCTGTAGGTCTTCACTGATAATGTTTTTTGTATTCAAGAGCTCATTTCAGAATTCTATTATTGGATGATGATGTATGCCAGAACAACAATGCAAAAGCAAAATTCAGTTCTGAATGAAGTGTATTAGTAATTCAGATCTTATGTCTGATTCTAAAAGGTGATCTTCCTTTTACAGTGGAAGCATACAGTTGCATGTTCTGATCTAGCAGCTGTGAGTGCGGTGTTTCAGTGAACAAAGTAAAATTTCTAAAATTGAGATTTACCTGGATTTTCTGTCTCTGACCTTCCTTGAGATAATGTTGTGATTACTACATTGTTGAACACTTGTTGTTTGAAAGCTCTCCCTTAAGTTGAAACAAGATCTGTGTATAGTTATTAAAAATATTGCTAAACCCATGTGGTTTTAACAGAATTTTTTAAAAAGTTTTGCTCATAACACTTATTTTTGATCAATAAAGATAGTTAAATTTTGTTAAGAGTTATTACTGAGCCTGTTCCACTAGGCATTCTCCTAAGAGAAGTTAAAATATTTCCTCAACATTTTAGCTGTGTAGTTTCTACTTTCCTATGCTAATTTATGTACAGTGCTCCAACCATGCAATGAGAAAGGTAATAATGTTTTCCATCCTACATAAGAAGCAACAGGCCATTGAAAAACCTGCAGCTCTAACAATATGAGTGCCTGAGTACCCACTATGTAGAGGGGAGAAAAAAGAAAAAGCCAGCTATTTAGCATCTTGAACTATTACTAGGGCAACCAATCTGTAAGTCAGGTTGACAAAAACAAATAGCCTGGGTTTTTTTGGGGGGGTGTGGTTTTTTTTGTTTTGTTTTGGTTTTTTTTTCTTCCTTTAGTGTCTGTGTCATGATGGTATAATTTATCTTGTTTTCAAAGTGAAAAGAAGGTTTCTAGCCCTTCGGTTTATCAATTTTTACTTTCGTACTGATTTTGCTGTTGATGTTTATTTTCATAGTTAATCTATTAGAAGAGCGAAAAATACTTAATTGCATTACATAAACATAAATTTCCAGATGTTTTATTTTCAGAAACAATGAAAAATTTTAAACAGACCTCCTTTTAAAGAAATGTCCATGTTTCTTTTGTTCTTCATCCCTCTTGGAGAGGATATTGTGCTGCATATTTCTGAGAGCAGGAGATTGAACTGTTATGTGGTGTTTCTTGCATAATAGAAATATGAGTTTTAATTGTTCAGTTTCTCCTTTTCTTCAAGACACGCCATCCCAACGAGTGCAATTTATCTTGGGTACTGAAGATGATGATGAACACATTCCCCATGATCTCTTCACTGAAATGGATGAACTTTGCTTCAGGGATGGAGAAGAATACGAATGGAAAGAAACAGCTAGGTAGGCTAAAAGTAGATTGTTTCAAGGTATATCTTCTAGTGGTTTTATTTCAAACAACTGCAAGCCAGGTCTAGGTTAGAATTTTCATGAACTATAGGAGTTCAGTCAACTCATGCTCAGCAAATTACAAATTTTCTTGGTTTTGTCCAGCTCTGGAAGAATCTGGAAGAATATGGTTCCTCAGAAGACCCTCAGTCTTACTGGTGCCCTGTTGACTTTCCTGAAACTGATCATGCCAAGCATTGTGAAAAGTACAACTGTGTTTAGTTATAAATACAGGTGTGCAGCCATGGAGCACGCTATTTAAAATTTCAGAAATCTCTTTGCTCTATTACTACCGATATATTAGTGTCAATTTTTTTTCACTCAGACATAAAGAAAATCGGGGATTTACATATGTTCTTCTTCAGTAGTATTTGATGAATTTTTTGCAAATTGCATTCATGAACATTACAGAATGCCATGATTATTTTTGTCCCATATTGGTTTAGTAGCTTCCTTCTACATATGCATTGTAAGAAATTCTTCTGCATTCAGTACTTCTAATTACCTTATTGCACGCTAGCTTTTGCAGAAGTTCAGTTTATGTAATCAGAATCAAGATCAATTCACTTATACATGTATTAGTATTACCTAGCTCTTAAATGTCTGACTTGGCACCCTAGAAGACTTGAACACGGTATACAGTGTGTCTCAGACAGCTTTCTAATCCTAAAATACTGATGAAACTGAGATATGCAAATCGAGTAACAAGGCACAGTCCCACACTGTTCACAAGACTCGTGTATAGACACATATTATTCAAACCAAAAGAGACAAAATGGGCAAAAACTAGAACAGTTGAGTGTGGTTAAAAGGCCTGATAAAAATGTTGTGACTGTCAATCAGTTGGGTTGTCTGAGAAAATGAAAGCTGGTATGAGCTGATGACACTTCCTGTTCTATGTCATACAGAAGCTGCAGCAAAGAATGGGATTGCTTGCGAAATTGTAGTCTTCCTGGAGAAATATAAATATGTGTATGCTTTTCAGGTGGCTAAAATTTGAAGAGGATGTTGAAGATGGTGGTGATCGATGGAGCAAGCCTTATGTAGCAACTCTGTCTCTGCACAGTCTCTTTGAACTGCGAAGCTGTATTCTTAATGGGACGGTCATGTTGGATATGAGAGCAAACACACTAGATGAGATAGCAGGTTGCAGCAAAATTTTTTTTTAAAATATTTTATTCCTAAAGTTTAATATCTAACTTGAGATGTTTTTGATCGTGTCTTTTTATTTATGTTCTTGAAAATACTATATTGAAGAAATAGGTATGTGCATGCTTACTGCAGTTTTCTTCATCTGTAAAGAGCTGATCCTACAAACTTCACTTACAAGGAGCTACACTGGATGAGTAGGACTTCCTTTATTACATGTTTTAGGATGAGGCCCAGAATTTGCCTTTATGTTCTAATCCCTGAATGTGTTCTTTGTCTTTGTTTCTACAGATGAAATGTAAATATCTGCCAGAACACTTTAGGACTTATTTGTGCACTTTAGTACCATAATTATTAATCATAACTTGGCTGATGTTAACTTGATGCCATTAGTGCAGTTGATTGTTGCACATCTGGTATTTTTTTCACCTTTATAAGAGGTGAGCAGAAATAAATTTTGTACATGTTGTTTGACCTACTATGTTGAGTGTCCTCACTAATCACATGGTCATTTTGGATACTATAAAATCAGCTTTGAAGACTTTTTCATGTATGTGTATATATATACCTGCTTAGCCTGAATGCCTTTGAACTAGTTTTACATAATTTTCCTGGTATCTCTTGCTACAGGTACCACACAGTGGAATGCCTTCTCAGGAATCATGCTAGGCTTAGGGCTGACCAACATGTATGTGAAGGACAAGGTGTTTTGGCATTAAAAACTTTGGCAGTGCTTGAAACCTTTTCTTGTTTTGTTTTGAAATCTTCAAAATTCACTCAGGAAATTGGTATTCCCTTCCTATTTTCCTGACTTACTGAGTAAGAGTGTTCAGTACATGGTTTGTAAAAGTAACGTTTTGGGTCTTAATTTATTTTTAATAGTTGGATTTAGCAGTAATCTTAGTACATAAGAAAAATAGTTATTGCTTATTCTGTGTAACAGCCCTCTTTTAATAGCAGGTATTTCAGTTGGAACTAGGATGTCTTAAGAGATTGAGTTTGTTTCAAGTTAATTTTAGGTGCCATTACAAAGCATGTAGGATAACAATCCTTGGCATACAAATGTACTGTCTTGTTCCCCTGAGCCAGGAATACCTGGTAGGTATTCTTGGTTCTCACTCAAAACAGGAGGGAGGCTGGCCGGTTTCCTTTTGAAAGCTATAACAAAAGGTTGTGTGTTGGCAGTAAGCCTGGAAGGAAGCTGCACTGTACTGACAGAGACTTTGCTGCATATAATTTTTTGTAAGGTATTCTGAGCTGTAACCTTTTTCATTGTGAAAATGTGTAATTGCAGTTTACCAATGCAGTTAGGTTCTTGATACATCAGTTAAGACTGGCAGAATATATTTTAGAAGTTGTCACATAGGTTCATGGGTTTGTGTTGATTTGTGCAGGTGTGGGGTTTTTTATTGGCGGGGGGTTTTGTTTTGTTGTTTGGTTTTTTGGTTTTGTGTGGGGTTTTTTTTTTTAAAAAAAAAAAAAAAAAAAAAGGCAGCTAAGAAATTGCAGCAGATATTTTCCCAGACATCAGGCTTTCTTTTCTGGTGTGAGCATACTGATGAGATGCCCTTTCGAAACTTGATGTTGTTTGCCAGCTGATTAGTTATAGATGATGTAACTAGATTTTGTTTTATGCTTCCTCTTCTAAATCATGTGAATTGCGTGAAGTTTGATAGAGAGCCTCAGCAGCTTAGGGCATCTGAAGGTGACAGGAGTTAGGGAATTCGTCTCATTCTATAATACCTTTCACTTTTGTGTAGTTTTATACCTTCAAAATAGAGACCACCAAGTTAAGACTGTCTTAAGAAGTCTGTTCTCAATTGTGTTTCTGTCTTTGTGTGTTCACTTCTAGTGGAGGGCTGCTGAATACACAGATGCTTTTTTTTTTTGAAAGGGACTAGCTGTTAAAAGTTGAAGTAAATGACAGTAAATTATAAAATATCAAGTAACTTCTTAAAATAATTCTACTAATAAATATTGTCTTTTGGATCTGCATGTTGTGCTTTCCTTATTCTCACATTTGCTTATTTAGTGACATCTTTGAAAATTTCCTGTGGATTCTTGAAGGTGACTTTGTTAAAGAAAAGACTTTTTTAAAAATAGATTTAATTTTTTTTCTTATTTGGTGCAACTACAGTGTTTGAGTGTGGTGAAGGAGAGACTTGATAGTTGTATATATAATTGTCTTTGTTGTTATGTAGATATGGTTTTGGACAACATGATTGCCTCCGGCCAGCTCGATGAATCCATAAGAGAGAATGTGAGAGAGGCTCTTCTAAAAAGGCACCATCATCAGAATGAGAAAAAATTCAGCAATCGAATTCCCCTGGTTCGGTCTTTTGCAGATATAGGCAAGAAACATTCTGACCCTCACTTGCTTGAACGAAATGGTGAGATAAGTTTTAGCATCCAGTTTGTTCTAACCTGTTAAATAATGTTCTCACTGGGAGATGAAGGAAAATTCAGCTGATAATAGCAGATAAGTGTTTCCTTCTTGATAAGCAAAAAACTAATGATAACAGCGTGTGCTATGTATAGCTGTGGATGATGTTTCTGTATATTTTTGAATTTACTCAAACGTTCTACTCCTGCCTGTATATGTAGCATGCGTTATTGTTTTGAAGTATAGAAATAGATCTACATTGGTCCTACTTTTTTTTAGGCTATGCTTGAATAAAATGTGTAATGTTTGAGGAATTTCAGCATTGTGGCATAGCTTTATATGTTTGTCAGATGGATCCTACTTGCTTATTCATCAGTCTTTATACTAGAGATTTACTTTGTAGTGATGTTATTAGTTCAGTGATGCTGACAATTACTGTGTTTTAATCCAGCGTTGTTATGTTAATATGACTAGGAAAAGTTCACTATGCTAATGGTGAAGAAATTACTTCTAGCTAGGATACTGTTTATTTTTACCTTGTTTAGTAGAGAATGATCTAGCAGGGGGGAAACAAATATTTGCAGTATTTTCGTAGGCTGTACCACGTCTTTATTGAACCAGTTCCTGAAAATGTTCTGGAATATCAATACATTTACTCTAGACATCCAGTTCCAAAGTCCAAATAGCAATATATACTGCAGAGGAGCTTATTTTTATTCTTGTATTTCTTAAGGCCTCTATTTTGGTCTCTGGCTTTGTTTTCTTTTGCCTTGCATTAACTAAGACACATATAATTTCAACTGAAATTTTTTAGTTGAGTGAAAACTTAGTACTCATTTCATGAGTCACTCCTTGAAGCAAAGTTCCTTTCCTGTCTTGAAAGATGCCTCATTGCTTAGAACATGTTCCACTTAGTTAAGTGCTTGTTGTGAGCTCTCGGTTCAATACATACTTGGAGTATGCTCCAGCAAATGTCTGAGCTTGCTGATACTTTTTGTTAGCTAGTGAATATCTGATGCATGCTTAAATATTTCCCTGATAGTTTCAGAATTATTTTTTCTGGAATGAAAGTACAAATAATTTATCTAAAAGCATAATTTCTTCTATAAATTCTGACCTTCTGTTTTGTTTAGCAAATGTGAAAATTTCACATATAAATTTTGTTTTGCCCATCATTGAACACCTGTATCCCCAATTGTAATTCTGAGAATTCTATATTCGAGGTATCTTGCTTGTCAGTTACTTTTCGTGTATCACTTAACTTTCCAGTGCATTTTATTCTTAATACTATTCCTACAACAGAATATGGGATATATGCTGAAATAAGAAACCAGTGTAACATGATGAACTCCTTGCCAGCGTATACTGATTTACTTTTTCTTTATAATCCTATGGTTACCCTCTAATAAACCGATAAACCAAACATGCATATGTGCATAATAGTTTTTAGGCTTCTTCTTAGACCTGTGTGTGTTAGGACATCTCATGTTTATGATTCATCACAGATATACTGACAGAAGTCTAGTTATTACTGTAGTGATTAATATAGACAAAATCAACCAGCTTGCTTTATTGGTCCTCTTGCTTTTACTGCACTGCAGTTTGAATAGTTGATCTTTGAGGCTTTCGTTCTTAATTTAAATCAAGTTTGTATCTGTATGATATACTCTTTCATTATTAGATGATGGAAAAATGTATGTGACCGTTACCTGGGCATACTTTCTGCACCTCGTTCTTGTAAATTATTCTAGGGTTTTTCAACATATTGGTCTCTGTAGTGCCTAGTATAAATGTGAGACTAAATGTGTTTAGTTTGCTGTTGCCTTGCTTGATGGTATGGTACGTGAAAACAGCACATTTTTTATTTCAGAGATTGTAGGAGAAGTAATCAGTACTCTTCTCAAGGAGACTGACATCCCAGGAAAAGTGCTTGTGGTAAATGGGAGGAATGGTATCGCTAAATCTTTAAATGGAAGTACTGATATGAGGATAGACAGTGTCTCTTCCTGCTTAAGGAAGAACTGAAACCCGTTACAAACTTAAATCTGAGGGCACCATGACAAGGCTACGTTCTTTTTATATGAAATAAGTGGGACATTGAAACTGGATAGGGCAAGAAAAGTAACAATGGATTTTAGAGAAGCATGTTTTGTTTTAGGCAAATGGGGATATTTGGTAAGTCACAGCAAGAAGAAATGGGGAAGGGACTATGTATCTCAATCCTTGTACCCTCTTCAAAACTATATTATATTGAGACTACAGCTGGCTAGGAAACTTCTTATTAAAACAAGACTTTTATTGGGAGACAGTTGCATTTAACGTGATTAGATATGTTTGATCATGTTCATTTTGAAATACTTAATTTTAAATATTAAATATTAACAGGATGCAGTTAACTGTGAAGTCTTGTAATGTTTTGGCTGCTAATGATTTTTGTAATGTATTGTTTTGGATGGCATTAGAAGTAGCTGCTGTGCAATGTGGAATAAAATTCTTTTAGGAAAACTTAAAAGTTTCAAGAGATAAAAATTTTTTTGTTGTTATATTAACAAATCTTACTGACTTTAAGTGAATATCTTCTCCCATGTATCTTTAGTGTTCTAATTAGTACTCATCAGTAATTTCTGACTTTTCTAATGTCTGAAATCAGATTTGCTCTTCTTGTCTTACTTGCATGAGTATGACACTTTTGGCCTGTAAAGCTTGCAATTTACTATGTAAATTGTTAATGAGTGTTTGTGTCTGTGGTTTTTTTTAGTATATATCCCTGTTGTAAGCCTCATGGTGTTTCATTTGTTTTATCTCAGGGGAAGGCCTTTCAGCCTCCCGCCACTCTTTGCGAACAGGTCTCTCTGCCTCAAATATTTCCCTGAGAGGAGAAAACCGTTTGTCAGTTCTTCTCAATTACCTTCTTCCTTCTTCAAGAGCTGGAACCCCGGCAACCTCAAGGTGTACAACCCCTGTAACTACCCCTCAAAACACACCACCCTCCAGTCCTACCTGCAGCCATCCGCCAACCACAAGTGCCCAGCCAAGTCCGCTTCAGGGCAAGGAATTGCTGGTGTCACCTGCCAGTGATGATATTCCTTCAGTAATAATCCACCCACCTGAGGAGGACTTAGAAGTGCAGGAAAGCCAGGAAAAGAAGACAGAGGAAAATATTGACAAAACACCAGGCAACTATCAAAATTTAAGCTGTCCATGTGTGATGCTCTCTGCATCTGGATCACTTGCATTGCAATGTTTTTGGCACATAACTTGGGCACAAAGGAATATGATAACTGTTACCTCTGCCTGCATGTTTTACTACTTCTCAGTTGTGACTGTTTTCTTGTTCAGCATTTTTAACTTTTTAGCTTTTAACTAAAGCCAGCAAAAAACCTCTTAAATTAACCTTCATTTGTGTAATTTAAAAAGCAATATGGTTTTAAAATATAAGCAAACTGTCAAAAATGGTGGCCTTTTCCTTTCACTCACCTACAGTCCATGTCCGGGTTTTCTTTGTTGTTGTCAGTGGTTGATACCATGAGATAGCTACAGCCAAAGACATAGTGAGGTATTAGAGATGAGTATGAAAAGAATTAGGAAGGGTGCAATAATTAGTGGTGTTTGTAGTTCAGTTGTATCATGAAGTCTTTAAGCAGTTTTATTTTTGCTTTTGTGCTTTTAAAAACTAGGGCCATTAAAACCAGTAATAGTTTATGATGGAACCGGCAGGTTCAGTTCACCTTCAGCTGTTTCCAGATAGCTATCCATTAGTGCACTGCTTCAGCATTAGACATTTGGTTACTCTTTTGTTGTGTTCGCTATGCAAAATAGGATAAGGTAGTTAAGAGTTTATAATTGTAGGTCAGAGCTCAGGAATTTCTTAATTTGTTGTCTTGCAAAGCTATTTTTCTTTATGTGTAAAAAAAGTGTGTAGATGTATAGATAAGTTGAAAGAAAGGATGGAAAATTCTGATAATGTCTTTAATAATTTTTAGTAAATGTTTCATAACTCATGCATTCTGCATACATACTGTTATACTTGCTTTACTTTTGCAAAAATTATCACCTATTTAGAGACATTAGGATTCTTCTAGATCGTGTTTTTAAGGGGATCGACTTTCTTTTTAGCCTTCAGACCCCTCCTGCATTTCCCCCTACTGCCCCTGTCTTCCCAGAAATTTACCTTGCCCAAATCTAGCTTGTAGGTTTGTCTGCTTTATGCCTGTGTGTATTGGGGGGGGAGCTGATTTCATTCAATTCTTTCACGAGTGAGGCTTTTCTTGGTTTCCTTCCTCACCCCTTTAATAAGTGACAGCACAGTGTTACATATAGCAGTGAAAATATGCCGAGAGAGAAAAGGCTGTGGTTATCTGCCTTTTCACGTTTTGCAGCCAAGTCACTGAAAAGCAAAGAGCAAACTGTGTTTGTAGGCTGTCATCTTGAGTTGGAGTAGGGGCCCATCCTTACTTAAATTTGGAAAGGCAAACAAAAAAACACTTTCTCTGACTTCCTGATGGGAAATCAAGAGAATTCGCATGAAGATCATTATCTCTTTCATGGGTGATCTTTCAAAGGTAGTTAAAACTGAGAAGTAAAATAACAGCTGTAACTGGTTTTCCAGTTCTCATTTTTCTACTCATCTGACAGGAATTGACAGCATGACAGACCCAAGGTCTTTAAAATCCAAGAGAAGGCAAACAAATGAAGATCAAGTACTTGATGCTATTATTATCATCACTAATAAACCTTTCCACCAGAATCTCCAAGTCATGTTCAGATTGCTTTTGTGTCTCAAGGGGATGTTTCTTATAAAGGAAAAATCTGAAAGGGATGATTTCCCAGTTAATCCACAAATAAAAGTCTTACTAGAGAAAGATGAACACCAATAATAATGGAAAACACTTTTGTTTTCTGGGTTTCCCCCCCCTTTTTAATTTGAGAAATCATCTGACCACAGAAAGACACATTTTTCCTTAGAGATGCCTTTGAAGACATTCTCAGACTATGATCTCAGGGCTGTAACTGGACTAATTTCTGTCTTGGGAGACACACTCAGAAGGGAACCTGAAGAGGAAGTCATCTTCCTTGTATTAATTTAAAAAAAAAAAAAATCATCTTAGTCTGTTCCACTATAGATTATGGTCTATATTGTCTCTCTAGTAATTCAGAATATTGCAGCTTGAATACTTTTCCCATGTCTGAATGATTGAGTTTTGCCTCCTGTGAGAATTAGGAACTGTTTTAATTTTGTAATAGGTGGCTTGCTTCTGTTTAGCATTCATCTATCCTTGGCCTTCTGTTATTCAAATTTTACTTTTTAGTCTTTATAAATATCTGGAAGGTTACTGGCCTTAATGTGAATTACTAGAAAAGGAGGGAAGAGGGGCACACTTTCAGTCTACCACTTGATTTTTATCAGCCAGTCATCAGTTCATAGTAAGTCAACCAGGCAAAAGGTTCTTTTTAACAATTTTTTTCTTTTGTCATCAGTTCAAGAAGAGCTTTTGTTTTCCCATCTTTGAAACTGTTGAATAATGAATTCCATAGGTAGAGCTAGGAAGAGAGCTGTGTCACAGCTAAAGATGAACACTGTTAGTTCACCAGCATCATTAAACTTTGTTAATGTCTGTGAACAACAGCAAAGCAGCCTGTTTTAAGGGGCCTTTTAGTTCACTGATAAGTGTACTTTAAAACTGAGTAAAATAATAGTATTTCAAACAGCTTTGCTCTTACAATAATTACTTACTGAAAACAATAATTCAGAAAGGTTTACATATTTGCCTTCTAGGATTTGCCTTCTAATATTAATTTTTTTCCCCCACATTAAGGCTGCATTGGAATTTATTTTTTAAAATTGATTTTTACTTCCTCAAACACAAACATGGTGTGACTTTGTATTTAGAAGTTTCATGTTTCATAATTTTTGCCTGTATAAACATAATTATATTGGTACAGTCATGCCTAGATGTTGGACTCGTCTTATTTCCCCCAACTTTTCTTTTTTTAGATTTTTTTGTTGTTGTTTTTGGTTTTTTTGTGTTGGTGTGGTTTTTTTTGTGGTGTGTTTTTTTTTTTTTTTTTTTTTTTTTTACCTGAAGTGGAGATGTGATGCAAATGTCTGTATTCTTCTTGCTTTCTTTCTCCAGTAGATAATGTCCATTAGATTTTTGTGGTCACAGTATTAAACTAAGTGTAGTTGCCTAGAAAATGCACATGATCTTAAGTGAAGGTGTAGTTGTAAGTACTTCAACTTGAGTGATCTTATGAGGTTTTAATCCAAATTTACTCAAGACTCTGTCCACTGTTGTCTTTTGAAGGTGGTATATCTGCATAACAACATCAAGAAGAGTACTATGTGTTTGTAATGATCCCCTTGGTAGCTTGGTAAGACTAGATGAATTTCTCTGTCTCAGTCTGGAAAAACTAGGTAGTCTTCCTTTTAGCAGTAGCCTCTGAGTTCGTATCTACTGAACTGGAGAAGAGAAGGAAAGAAGTTCTGTTAGTGTGAGATTTGAGTAAAAGTGTTCCGCTGTTAGAGATGATAATTTTTTATTCTGAGTTTCCCTGCAAATATCAGATTGATTGATGTGCATAATGAAATGCAGTGTCATACGGAAATGGTTGCTCAGGTCTGAAAACCTGTAAGCAGTATTCTCATGTGAGCGCGGCAGTCTGTCCAACTGCAAGACCAACAGAAAGGAAAACTAGTTACATGTGGTTTAGGATCAGACAAATGTTCCTGTATCAGTGCCAAAACTGTGACTGGTTGGAGAAATTTTGAAGGCAAACCTTTTAGAAGAATCAGTATCACTTCAGTAATAAAATAATAAATTAGTTTATGCTAATATGTAAAATCCTTATTCTCTCTCCTCTTCCTTGACTGTCTCCCAACTTTTTGTTCTAGTCTCTTCTTGCTCTTGCTTACATGGCGAAAAGTGCAAAATGATGCATTATTGCTCATCTTTCATCAGTCATACACATCTTTAGTTATCTTTATTGTTATGGTGGGGGGGGGAAGTGAAAAAAGTTTACATATGTAAACTTTTATATTATGGTCTTCTGCAACAACTGTTTAATATTTCTGTTCTATTTCTAGTCCTACAAATACATTTTAACATCAACTCTTACAAAGTTAAATACTTTGAACAGCTGATTTCACAGGTAGTTGACTGCTGTTAGTTATTCTTGTGAATAATGCGTACATCTTGGAGCAAAAGGGTGGAACATGACCTCCCCCGCCCCAGCTAACTGAATATAGTATTTATAGTGTAAGCTAATTACTTGAGCATGATAGGAATCACAAAGGAAACTGCAGGTTATTAACTTAATTTGGTTTTTGCTTCAGGAAAAGCTACTCAGACCACTTGTATCCCTGTGAACTGTAAGAATGAAAATTAATGGTAAAGGCTTGGACCTGCATGTTTTCCATTGATATGATGTCTCTTTGAAAGAGTTGTTTGGAAATAAATTTGGGGATCAAATAAAGGAATTCAGTTGTCATTTGAAATGCTAAAATTGTCAAAATGCTAAATTATAAATATGGATGGGATGCAAATAGTTATGTAGCAATAGTTATGATAGAACAATAGCCAAAAGGTAGCCAGTGAGGACTTCAGTTTTATCTTGACTAGAGTGACACTTGACCTAAATACAGATTTTCTGCATGTGATACAATGTTTAGACTTTGGTCTTTGTCTAGATGTCATTTTGAAAGCATGTTAAAGCATGTGTATCACCACACCTGAAAGGTCTGATGTAGATAGGCAAGGCCAAATGAATTTCTAGTACATGTTCAACTGAACAAGTGAAAGTAATCCAAAAGATGGGATTTGGGCTTGGTTATGCATGCTTAGACTAGCTTTTAAATGATAGCTGGGTAGAGATACCCATGGCGCAACATGGAATTCGGTGTGTCTGAACACCCGAGTTACTTGACTTTTGCACCCTTCACTGAACCTGCAACTCATTGTTGCTAGTAGCATAGCAAGCTACATAAAACAATGTCTTAGTGCAGATGTTAGAGGGAAGTGGTACGTTTAACTTGAATAACTTTATTGTACGTGCCTCTTTAGCTAATGTTTTAGACCATTTCATACAGTAACATCTGGTCAGATCAATAGTTGGAGCTTTGGTCTGTTGATTGAAATCATGATTTGCAAGCTGTCTATCCTTCATGTAGTACACTATTTGCTTGTACAGGTTTAGTTAAGTACCAGGGTGTCATTCCTTGTAGCTGTTGTAGTCTGAGGCTTGCTGAGGCTTTTTACAATTGAAATAACTGCTACACAGCAGACTTGATAGCAGAGGTGTTTGCTTTTGGTGTTTGAGGACTCCTAAATATAGTGAAGATGCTATCTACCAACTAGTAGAGCGGTAATGATTGAAATGTCAACACTTGTTAATTTTCTACAATTAAAGTAGCTCTTGTTTTCTTTTCTGGTGACTGTTCTGCAAACGGCCATCATTTGGGCAATACTTAATTTTAGGGTTTTTTTTAAATTATGTCATTATTTTGACAACACAGTGACTTGTTAATGTTGCATTTATGATACTAATGTGGGGCACTGTTACGGAATAACTTGCACATTTGCTTTAAGCAAGCTGCCACATTAAGTTTTGGTAGTGTCACATACTCGGTTCACTTCATACACTCTTTTGAACTTACCTCCTTTGTTTTAATTTAGGGCTACTAGCATCTCCACAGTCAGCACCTGGAAATTTAGACACTGGGAAAAGTGGAGACGTTAAAGGTACTGGGACAGGAGGAAGCAGAGAAAACAGCACGGTTGATTTTAGTAAGGTAAATAACATGAAGTACCTTACTGTTTAGTACAATGTAACTATGTAACAAAAAATGTGGTTGTAACTGCCCTCTTAGTTACAACTAAGACACATATATCTACACATGTGTATGAGTGAACACAAGACATAGGTACTAAGGCGTAACTTGTATGTATGAGTATCAGAATATGGCATAGGCTAAGTGTGTCAAATGTTTTGGAAGTCTTACCAGTGGGATTGAACTTTCTGTTTTGTTTGATCTTTTCATTATTTTGGTAACTTAAAGAGTGCAGCCACTGTGCTTTTCTCATGCAGAAGGAGATATTTTCAGATCTATGAAGACTCTTACGAAAACAATTTTGTAGATGGTGTTGTAACATCTTTTCTAGGACTTGACCTTTTGGGTTTTTTTTGCAAAGAGGGCTTTTAAAGGGGATTTGCTTTATACATTTTGTGAGTTTGCTGTACAAAATTTAATTGTACATCTTAATCATTATGAGCATATAATACCACTTTCTGAAGGAGATCTTGTTTAATACTGTAAATCCCTTGTATTTCTTTCATAATTTAAATTTGCTGGGCAAATTCCATTATGGCTTTTATTATAAAACTCTGTAGTGTCATCTGTACTGTGAAACATTGTAAGAAAATTGGTTTGCCACGTTAAATAATTATGTTTAAGGAAAGCTAACTGTGGTTCTCATCTAAGCAGGGCAGGTCCCATTTATTCCTGCCTCTCTGTCACAGTTTTTATGTTTTTGCTTGGCCTGTCCTTCTGTACACCTGCCTTGTCTCCTGTTGGGCAGGAGTCAGCCTCCTGGCACTGTAGTTGTGGCACACTTGGTGTGGGACTCAAGAGGCCATCTGTAAGTTTTCTAGATAGCAATGTAACTGGTGCTTGTGTGTGTGTATGTATGTGAATGCAGAGTTCATGTGCTGTACCATTTTCTAATACTCTTCTGTAATTATGTACAGAAATGAAAGTTAAGATTTTCAGCCATCATATTATTTATGGATGAAAATATAAGCTAAAAATTTTTCAAAATTATGATGCATTTGAAATACACAGCTATGAAATAACTAATTGCATTCTAGAAACCATGTGTAATTACATGAACTCTCCTTAGTTAATTGTGCGTAGATTTTGTTAAGTGATGTCCTATCATGGAATGTTTGTCATGATAAGTGATATTGGGAAGGTGGTTATGCAGTTTGGAGTCTACCATATAGTAGGTGGTAGTAATTCTAACTTTTAGAAAATAGTTTATTATTAGTTGGCTGGCTGGCTGATATTTTCTACATATGTTTGTCTTTTCTGTAATGTGAGATATTTAATTTGCTTTTCTATTTTTCTTTGTAGTATAAATGTCTAGTAAATACTGATAATTGTGTTATAGAATTACTGCTAACAAATGTAAGGGAATAAACACTTGTTTCATCTTTGTATGAATAGGTTGATATGAACTTCATGAGGAAAATTCCTTCAGGAGCAGAAGCATCAAATGTGTTAGTGGGAGAAGTAGATTTTTTAGAAAGACCTATTATTGCTTTTGTGAGGCTCTCCCCTGCTGTGCTTCTCTCGGGTCTCACAGAGGTTCCGGTTCCTACACGGTAAATAAATGCCTGGAAAGTCTGGCTTTACTTATACAATAAGATAATAATATTTAAGATCTCAAATAGTTGTAAATTTTTATACATACTCTGTTAAGCTCAAGAAATGTAGACGTTTGTTTAACATGATGCCAGTTATTTGCTGCAAAATTTGAAGGAATGAGATCCACCATAAAATCCTCTGAATGCTTTAAATATATATAACGATGCTGTCTTAAGCAAGTGCAGAAGTTGAAAATGATGACCTGGAGTAAAAGCAATGAGTCTTCCAAGCTTGCGTTGCCATTTTAAAGATGGGCATGAAGATTGTTACAGTTCCCTTCATTGTGACACAGCGTGACAATGGGGAAGAGTCCACTAAGTCTGAAAGTCTGTCTAATCTGAAGCTCTGCTCTTTGCATACAAATGCTCTGTATATGAGTAACCTAGGTGGTGGAAAAACTTAACTTTTTTTTAATTATATGCCCAAATCTACATGATTGACACTGGGGTAACCAATCTACAGCTAATACATTGAATCATTTTTCAGTCTGCAATATGCCATCCAGCCTGGTGCACAACCACCCGAAATCATGGGTCTCACCAGTGTACTGTGGGTGTATTTACCTCAGATGATCAAAATGTCACAATGCAGGTCCCATGATGCAGGTAGCAGGTCATTTCGTCAGTCATCATGGAGGACACTTCATTTTCTGTGCACATTGATGTATTGGGCTGTTCTGTGGTGTTTGGCATAAATTTGTACGTTTATGTTTTTTTGGTGTTTTTTTAAATGTTTTAAAAGTGATCAAAGTGTCTGTTTATCTCTGTAATTTTCAGCATATATACGCTAATGAAAGGCAAAAATAATCTTGGCAATGTTCTTACAAATAGATGTGAGAATTTTCAGAGGGTAGTTCATGTTAGTGCTCATAATGCTTCTTGGGAAATTCCAAAATTTCTGCATACAGATTATTGTAATAAAGTAGCTAAAATTATCCTCTCCTAAATTTTTCAGAATGGTGTAGACTTGCAGATTTGGAATAACATATTTGATTCCGAAGATGATGCAATTTCAGTTTCAGTCAGGGTAGTCAACTTGCAAAGGAAAAATAACATTGAGCTTTTTGTACTGTGAGGTGAAAGAAGGCACTACTTTTTTCAGATGTGTTGTACTTAGGAACTTCATTTTCATGGAGTATAGGAAGAAGGTTGTGAAAAGAATTACTGAGGCTTACTCTTTGGTTTGTATCCTTTTGAATTTTATAAGATACTAGTCCTGTTCATGGGGTTTTTTTGGTTTTTTTTAAGAAAAAGTGTGATAACTATTATTGTGATTGGAAACGGAGACTGTCTGTTAACATATGCTGTGACCCATCCCCAGATTGGATTCCCTTCCCAAAATGTCACTTTCACCTTCTTAGGCGTTCAAAATGCAGGTTCCCTTCCTTTCCGCTGACACCCGATGAGGATATGCCTACATGAGTATGTCCAGTGTGTTGCTTGGATTATATCTGTGCATCCACTGTCTGATGTACCCCGTCACTGCAAGTGAGAGGGTTTTAAGTCGTGTGAAGAGGTGGTCATCAAGGAGGATAGAACAGGTCATAAAGCTCCTAGGCCCTCACTAAGGGGTCTTTACCAGTGGGAATGTTAGGAAGGTTTCTAATCCGGAGGAAATACTTACTGAACTCTAGCCTGTGGCTTTCTACTACATTTACGGCATTGTAATTTGAAAAATTAGACTTAATGAAGATGATTTTGGAGTAATTTTGGTTCAGGGTTCGAGTTCCTTCCAGTAATGAGTTTGAGGCGAGTCTTTTCTTAGTCTTGCAGCAGTCTTTAAGATCGGAAATGGTGAAGAAGATATTTTTACTTCACCACTGAATTTTCTTTAAATGTTAGTTTGAAAGAACCCTCTGAGTATATTCAAATGAGTCAGCTGTATTCATCTCAATTGCTTTCTCCACAGGTTTTTGTTTTTGTTGTTGGGACCAGCAGGAAAAGCTCCACAGTACCATGAAATTGGAAGATCAATAGCAACACTTATGACAGATGACGTGAGTGATGTATTTTAAACGCTTGTAGTTAAAGAAGTCTAGAATAATGCATTTACCGACTATTTTCAATAAATGTATTCTGGAGTGGCAGGGTAAAGGGGGGGGGGGGGGGAAATCCGCAAACCAAAAAAGAACTGTGAACTTATTTCTTGTGTTAGTGAACTATATAATGGTAAATTAACTTTTCCCCTTGTCTTTCTTGAAGAAATCCCAAGTGTATTTCTGAGACAATATTTTAGCTTTGGTGGATAGATTTCATTTTTATATTAAATTAGGAAACAGAACTATTAAATAGAAGTGCATCTGATATGAATCACTGTATGTTGAAAAGGACACAGCAAACTGCGTAAGTGTCCAGGACAGAAAGTTTAAGAATGCGTGTGATTGAGTCATCACGGATTTTTTTTAATCAAAGCTAGGTTAAATAACAAAAATTAGAATTTTACTAGGCATTTGACGTCATATGCTTAGAGCCCTGGTGGACGATTTTAAAGAGCACAGGGGAATCTGGACTTCTTAAGACTATTGTTATCTTGCTGAACAAAATCAGGATGTTTTAATTCTGACTTCACACTGAGCGCCACTACTGAATTGCTGGTAATTATTATGGTTATCTAGCAGAAATTCTAGTATTTACTCTAGAACAATTTAAAGTTTGGAAACGTAAACCACAAATTGGCCATTTTACAATCAGGCAGCTAGTCTGTGAATACAGTATTTGTTCAGTGTGAGAACTGAATATTAAAAGCTTTAGTTGCAGCTTCTAATTTTTTAGGTAGGTTGATTGTTAGGAATACTGTAGATCATTGAAATAGAAAAATTCAAATTATTCAGTGGTCTAAAAAGTCCTAAAAAGGCTTAAAAGGTCCAGCGTACAATTAGAAGACTTAATGATCAGGTCTTGGGAGACAAACAGTTCAGGTTTCAAACGTACAGAAGCAATTTAGGATCATCTTCTGCAAACAGTTTTTTATAGCAAAACTAGCATTATTTTTTTCTCTCTGTATAAAATACAACTTGGGATTCAGGGATTGTTCTGCTTAAGTACTACCCGTTTGTCAATTCAGAGTTTGTGTTGTAGTAGTCTGTAAAACAGCATAGGGCTGTGTTGTTTTTTTTGGTGTGGGGTTTTTTTTCTGAGTAGTAGGATTGCTTTCATGTGTTTTTCAAGAACTTGAAAACAATAACTTCCTTGTTTTATGTTCCATAGGGGTGTGCGTACAGGTAGTTCTTAATGCAAAAGTATGCAAGTAAAGTAAAAGCCTAACTTTTGAGGACCTTTAAAAAATTTCCCATGCCTTTTTAAAAATAATGAAGTGTTCCTTGTTGTTCCTTGTAATCAGTTCCTCTTTCAAAAAAAAAAAAAAAAAAATGATAAAAAAAAATGATGGGTACTTTCTTTTTGTAGGTTTTCCATGATGTTGCCTATAAAGCAAAAGACCGAAATGATTTGTTGTCAGGAATTGATGAATTTTTAGACCAAGTGACAGTCCTGCCTCCAGGAGAATGGGATCCATCCATACGAATTGAGCCACCAAAAAGTGTTCCTTCCCAGGTAAAAGAAAAGAGGGGGGAAAAAAAAAAAAAAGTGCAGCAGAGAGCTCCCATGATTTTACTTTGAAAATGCCATTTCCCAATGCACGTAAATTGGGTACTGAGTATAAACTTTAATAAAGCATGAGGAAAGCCCCCACATACATTTGGAAGAAAAAGTAGATTGTCCATTTAAGTTTTTAAAAAAAAAAAAAAAAAAGTGTTGGATCAGTTTCCTGATACGCTTTTAAGTAAATTGTATTTACTGTAATTTTGTAATACTGAGATGAGCTCACATGAGAGAATTCTAGGAGAATTGGTCCAAAATTGCACCTGAGTTCATATTATAAATTTTATTATTAATCTAACAGTGATCCGCAAGAATATTTTAATTCCTATAAAAACTTTTATTTGCATACAACATTGAAATGTTTTAATGTATATTGGCTAACATATAAGGTTCACAGACGCTTATGGAATAGATAAAAATAGATCATTGTGATACAAGCTTAGAGTGAGAGCCAGGGGGAAACTGGACCTTAGAGGGACTCTGATTTCTTCCCTTTCTCCCTCTTTACATTGCTGCCAGGATCAAAAGTAGGGGGAGAGACCAGTGCTCCTGATTCAGAAGGTTCATGTTGATGTCGAATCCAGTGGTGGTTTGTGGGAGTGGGTGGAACGGAAGGGATGACAGCAGTGCAGTTTATTCATGAATAGCCTGAGGCTACCACTTAACTCATTTCCAGAATAAGCAGGGCTTGGGGGTTTTCAGAAGGCAAGCTTGGCTGAGAAATTTACAGGGAGCTGGTGAGCAGGTTGCTCAATAGGGGAATGACTTCTCATTTATACTTCAACTAAATAATGTGTGTGTCAGAAAGTGAGATCAGTTTCTGTTAGAAGCTAGAGGCTTCTGCTCTGGAAATGATTGAGAGAAAAAGTATAAAGATTTCTAGGACTCACAGTTGAGCCTCTACTGTGTCTTGAAAAGGTAGGCTTTGTTTCATCATGTCTCAGGGACATATTTCTTGTAGAAAGAGGGAAGATTAATACTGTTGTGCAAGGTACTAATAAGATCTTTTGGGGATTATTGTGCAGTTCTAGTAGTCTGTACGGAACAAAAGATGAATTTGGCAAATAGAGCACTGCTGATAAGCTGGGAATATGTAAAAGGTTTGGAAGACACAGAGTCTCTGCACGCTGTCTTTGAATTACACTTTTTAATGTAAAAGCTGTCTCAAAGTATGATTTTTTTCCTTCCCCCCCCCGTAGGAGAAAAGGAAGGTACCTAAATTTCCAAACGGATCTACTCCTACAGGAGAGACTCTCAAAGAAGAAGGCCATCATGCTGGACCTGAACTTGAGAGAACTGGAAGGTGTGTTCACTTCCCTAAATACTAGTTACTATAAAGAAATAAAAGTGATAAATCTTCACAGTTTTTAATGATGACATTTGAACATAAAAAAAATCATGGTATAAGTGTCAGAGTGCATCCTTTTTCCTTTTCAAGTGTTGGATTCTTGCCTATAAATGCCAATCTGCTTAAAGCATTTTCAAGCCTGTGGCAATGTTTCTCAACACATTTACAAAGGATTTCATATAAGATGCTGCCTAATTTAACTAACTGATATTTAAGAGTTGGGTTTTAATTTTTAATTTTCAAGAGCATGCAATTATCATGATTATAGCAGGAATATACAGTTTTCAGTATTGGGCTAGGTACTAAAAATTTCCATTAATACAAATCTGTTTTATTAAGCATGTACAAAGTGGAGCACCAAGGAATATAAAGTAGCAGAAAATACTTCAGTATTGGTTAGGTTTCGGTTTTGGTTAGGTTTCTTTTGGATCTAAGATAAAATTGAAAGAATTTCTTCCAGTTGATTTGCATTGTTGTTCTCTGTTTAATTCTGCAATACTGGCCAAAAAAGTCCCCAGCATTGGAAATACCTGGTTAAGATTAAACCTTAACATCTCATATGAGAGAGAGATTAAATCAACTGAGAAATTCTGGGAAACATGTTCAGTGTTGTTACCCTTAAAATGATAAACTTCCAAATGAAATGCATCTTTCCCATACCTTTGCAAAAAGGACTTTATAACATTTGTGTTGATTTTTACCATTTTGACTTTGTTATACTTACTTTTTGCCTTTTTGCAGACCATATGTAGAGCTGAGAAGTTCATTTCTGCCCACAGAATTGCCTCTAGATGAGACTATTGCTAGGAATGGAATATTTTTAATTTTTTTATAATTCAAAATAAAATTATTTTTTGTAGGTGCAAATTATACCTAATATTTTGGAGTCTTGAAAATTTTTTGGAAACTGGCCTTTTAGTTTCTTGCTAATAACTTACCTAGTTGAACTGATTTATATATATATTTGGTTTTGTATTTCCATTTGTAGGGTATCTCTACACTCCAGATGAAAACACTGTTAAAATGATAGACCTAAATTTATTTATGGGCCTAACCATGTGTATGTAGAGAATTCAAATCAAAAAGCTACAACTACTTATTGGAGTAGTAATATTGAAATGTATCAATGCAGTGGTCTTGGTTGAAGTTTAGCATATTTATTCTGTTCCTTGTTTTGAATATTATAAGACAGATTTGACTTAAAACATTATTTAGGTAAATTGTTTGCAAAGATTTTTTTTTCAGTATCTAGCCCATATACAAAAATACCTAGCCAGCTTTTAAAAATGTGGATAGCCTGCTTGATTATATTCGGAATAGTATTGAATTGGAATAGATAAGATTCTCATTTACATTTTAAACTGTTATGCTTTAATCTGGATTATGAAATAGCTAATTTGTGCTGGCAGTAGGCACTGGCAGTCATGTGTAGCCCATAGTTTTGAACTAGCTAGAATCCTTTAGTGTACAGTTTGACGAGTTTCATCTCACCTATTTAGGCTTTTTGGTGGTTTGATACTTGACATCCAAAGGAAAGCACCTTTTTTCTTGAGTGACTTCAAGGATGCATTAAGCCTGCAGTGCCTGGCCTCGATTCTTTTCCTATACTGTGCCTGTATGTCTCCTGTAATCACTTTTGGAGGGCTCCTGGGAGAAGCTACACAAGGCAGAATAGTGAGTACAAAGAATGGTAGTGGCCAGGCTTTTAGACCTTCAGAGGCAAGTCACTGTGTGCATTTGTCTCATTTATTTATACTTGTATTTGAAGAATTTACCCACAGCACTTGATTAGCCTGCCCAAAGCAGATCTTCCCCAAAAGGTAATTGCTGTGGAAAATGTGGGGAACCCATGTGAACAGGAGAAGATGCACAGTGGAGGTAAAAAATGTTTATCCTGCCTTATTGGATGAATGGCTTCATGAATTGAGAAAGGGCTTGCATTGCCTTCTTTTTGGCTACTTAAAAATAATGAATAGCAGTAAAGGTGCACCATCCCACTAGGCCTACTTTAGGCAAAGTCAGAGGCTCAAGGTGGATAGCCAAGAACATGTACTGGCCTTGAGTAGTAGGCCTATGAGGATGATAATACCTGCAGTGTATGGGTAGTAGTCAATTGTGTATTTAAGTAATGGACAGGATATGTATGTGCTTTCACTAATGGTATGTTGTTAACAGTAAAAGAAAGTGGCTAAGGTTTATGAGCAGAAAATACTCTTCATTGTAAACAACTCAAATGTAAACCATACACGTACAAAACTTTGGTAGTGTTACATTGGACAGTAGTTAACACCACCTTTTTAACCAAATTATTATTGCACTTTGGATTTTGGAGCAGGAAAAGAATACTTAACATCAGCAATGTCAACAATTTAGTGTTTGTGTCAATTGGCTTGTGACTAAACTAGTTTGAAGTGTATTTTCTGTGTCTAAATCTGTCATGAAGAAACAAGGCTCTGTCCTTTTGGGGGAGGGAAGGTGTATGCAGACATGTCCTTGTCAAATTTTAATATTCTGGTAAAGCTGATGATGCTGCAAAATTCTTCTTGATACTTAGATCAAGTTTTTAAGCTTGTACTATATTAAAATTTAGTTAACTATTTTATCTCTTTCAAGTAATGCTGTTGACTCAGATTTTTGTTTACTGATGAAGCACTTCAAGCTGGTAGCAAATACAGAAATAAATTATATCTTTTCTGTGCACTGTTTTTGCCACTCTAAATGTAGGAATGGTTATCAAAATGCAATTTTTGAATGTACATCCTGTATAATTATGCAAATATGCTCCTTTTAAAGCTTGATTCTTAAACACCTTCTTTCTTTTAGCTATCTGGAATTATTTGCGGGTTTGTTCCTGCCTTCAGATACTTGGTGTGCATCATTGAATGTAAAATTTAGTTACTGCACACACATGTTCAAGCACAGTAGCTGACATTGTAAGGTACACAGTTTGTGTTTGAAACCTTCCCTCGCATTCCCAGAGGTCATCACCTCCACAGTACTCCTGTCCCTGCTACCCTGATTGAGAGCCCCAAGGTTAATGCATTGACTAACCAAAAGCACTAATTCAAAGGTAATAGAACAAGAGACTGGGATTATATAGATTTTTTTTTTCCCTAATGTAATGAACAAAGGACTCATGTTTTCATTTTTAATAGCCTCAGTTCAGCAAACCATTTTGCACAATTTTAGATGCTTTCCTGAATTGGAGCTTAAGTTTTCATAAATACTGTTTTCTTAGGCTTGCATAATTGCAGAATAGCAAACACTTAAAAATTCCACCAGGAATGTAATGTAATCCATGGCTTCTCATAGTTGTAAGTGGTGTAGTTAACTATTTTCAAGTAACTTTAATATCATTTTAGGATCTAAAAAGTCCTGCCCCTCTCTTTTGAGGTGCATTGTAACATTTTTTTTTAGCAGAAAATGATGTAGTGAAACATTTAAGTCAAGAACTGAAGTAGATATCTTACTTCAATGAAAAGAAATGCATTACCAGGTGGGACATTGGTTTACTGCTCATCTGTTTTTGGTGTTATGTGTACATAAACCAGTATTGTTAAGTAATTTCTCCTGCACCTCCACCTGTCAGTTTTTTCTTTTGTAATGCTTGGTTGACTGATGCAGGTTGTATATGGCACACCGTATCATGTTTTGGTACAGGTATGTTGCAATATATATTTATCTATTTTCTTTACAGAGACAGATAATTCTTTCTGTAAACTACATGTTGAGTAACTTTTTTTTTTCCCCCTTTTAAATTTGTAGTAATTGTTGCTATGTTTTTCCTCCTAGCTAGCAGGACTAGTAACTTGTTCTCATCGTTTCGGATGGCTTTATATTTCTCAGGAGTGAAGTTTTCAAAATCTTTTGTCTGTGGTATTGTTACTGCAAAGCTGTGTGAAGTTATTCTTGTCTCAAACCAATATTAATTGCAATGTTTTTACATCTTGTCTTGTTTCTAAGTTAATGCATCTTAAAACTGTGTTTATGCAGATGTGATGCTAAACGCTAACCTGAAATGCAGCATAGTTACAGCAGTTTCTTTTCCCCCAAACAGAGTGCAATAGAGTCTCTCTTTGGAGCCTCATTAACTGGGATTGCCTATTCTCTCTTTGCTGGGCAACCTCTTACTATTTTGGGGAGCACCGGACCAGTTCTAGTGTTTGAAAAAATATTATTTAAATTTTGCAGGTAAGTGATGTTTGCATTAGCCTGATACACTTTCTAACTTTCTAGACTGTTAGAATAGCTGTAATTTAAAGCAGATGTGTGTTAAAAGTGGATGTCCGTGAAGACGTAAATGCAGCAGCAGGAGACTGAGAGATGTGGTTTGGCAAAGTTATGAGGCACTGGTGAGCCTTAATGAGAAAATCAGTGATAAGAAGTGGCTAGGACTTAAATAAAAGTTATGTTGTAACTCTGTGGAGATGTTGGCTTTGATTCTGCAGGGGTAAACAGGGATTGATCTATCCTCTAGGAGAAAGCATCTAGGTAGTTCTGGAAAGATCATCTGCATGATGCTTCCCAAGCTGGGTAGTTGCACCCTCAATCCTAGAAACACCTTGCAGTGTTGCTTTGCTTTGGTGGCAGATGAGACAGAAAAGTTTCTGCTTCCTTCAGAACTAACATCAAGGATGAGAGGAGTGGTGAATACCTATAAAGCTTGGCCTCAGTATCTGATTTCAAGTAGAATATAGTATAGGTGACTTTTGGCTCAGTTAATACTTTTGTTTGTTTCTTCACACAGGGATTATAATCTTTCCTACCTCTCCCTGCGAACTAGCATTGGTCTGTGGACTGCATTTTTATGCATAGTGCTTGTAGCCACAGATGCCAGCAGCCTTGTGTGCTACATCACTCGATTTACTGAGGAAGCTTTTGCAGCGCTTATATGCATCATATTTATTTACGAGGCATTGGAAAAGCTTTTTCATTTGGGAGAAGTGTATGCCTTCAATATGCACAATGATTTGGATAAACTGACTTTATATTCGTAAGTATTGGGTTTCTATCTGCTAGTAAAATACATAGGGAAAATGTTTATAGTATAGAGACATACCATTTACTAAACTGCAATGTGTGCCTCTCTGTGGAAGGGTGGGAGGAATGCTGGAGGTGGTATGGGCATGAGAAACCTCAGAAAAATTCTATTCAGGATGCTGTGGAGTTGAATTTTCTGTGTTAGCTATGGGTGGTCAGAAGGGATGAGGGGCTGTGACAATGCTTGCTTTATCTGCAGCTTTATTAAAGGTCAGCCTGGAGATTAAAGGTCAGAACAGGAGTTCTGCCTTGCCACTTCCAGAATTCATGATAGTGTACCCCACCTGGGTGAGGATTATTTCCAGGTAGTTGAGGCATGGAGAGCTTCTGCAACTTTCACAAGCTATGAATAGGGAGTTAACATCTTTCAACAGTGTTTATTTCTACTGTGATTATGGGGAATACTGGACTTTTAAATTTTTTTTTTGAGAGAGAGGAGAATAATAGAAAATAAAATACAGCCATACTTTTTTTATTCCTAAGTAGAACTATTAGTTCTATTCATCACAGTAACTAGCAATGACACTGTCAGTACAAAAATAACTTTATTTCATTTAAGTAATGCAATAAGCAAGCTATTTAGGTGTATTTTTTTTACATTTGATTTATTTCTGTGGCAGTTGTATATTATCTCCCTGTGGTGGGTTAACCTTGGCTGGATGCCGGGTGCACACCAAGCTGCTCTATCACTCCTTCTCCTCAGCTGGACAGGGGAGAGAAAAATATAACAAAAGGCTTGTGGGTCGAGATAAGGACAGGGAGATTGCTCAGCAATTACTGTCACAGGCAACACAGCCTTGACTTGGGGAATTTAATTTAATTTATTACCAATCAAATCAGAGTAGGGCAATGAGAAATAAAACCTAAATCTTAAAACACCTTCCCACCACCCTTCCCTTCTTCCTGGGCTCAACTTCACTCCTGATTTTCTCTACTTCCTCTCCCTGCCCCCAAGCAGTGCAGGGGGACAGGGAATAGGGGTTGTGGTCAGTTCATCACATGTTGTCTCTGCTGCCCCTTCCTTCTCACACTCTTCCCCTGCTCCAGCATGGGGTCCCTCCCATGGGAAACAGTCCTCCACAAACTTCTCCAATGTGAGTCCTTCCCACGGGCTGCAGTTCTTCATGAACTGCTCCAGTGTGTGTCGCTTCCATGGGGTGCAGTCCTTCAGGAGCAGGCTGCTCCAGCGTGCGTCCCCGATGGGGTAACAATCCCTGCCAGCAAACCTGCTCCAGCACAGGCTTCCCACGGGGTCACAGCCTCCTTTGGGCACATCCACCTGCTCCAGTGTGGGGTCCTTCCCGGGCTGCAGGTGGATATCTGCTCCACCGTGGACCTCCATGGGCTGCAGGGGCACAGCCTGCCTCACCATGGTCTTCACCACGGGCTGCAGGGGAATGTCTGCTCTGGCACCTGGAGCACCTCCTCCCCTCCTTCTTCACTGACCTTGGTGTCTGCAGAGGTGTTCCTCTCACATATTCTCACACCTCTCTCTGGCTGCAGTTGTGCAGGCTTTTTCCTCCCTTCTTAAACGTGTTATCTCAGAGGTGCTACCACTGTCACTAATGGGCTCGGCCTTGGCCAGCAGCAGGTCCATCTTGGAGCCGGCTGGCATTGGCTCTGTCAGACATAGGGGAAGCTTCTAGCAGCTTCTCACAGAAGCCACCCCTGTAGGCTACCAAAACCTTGCCATGCAAACCCAATACACTACCTTTTGGTGTGCAGTTGTACCACTTCTGAATTAAAAGTTTGCTTATACAGTGAAATTAGCATTGAGTTCTTTTAATACCGTGTGTCTTGACACTCTGTATGTTTTAGTTTTTGATGATGTGCTTAAGTGCTGCTTTATCTTTTGCTGCTCCGTGTGGAGTTTTCAAGCTTTTGGTATAGTTTCATGAAATATGATGAATTGGGTTACCAGCTCACCAGCAGGAGATCCTGCTAACTGTTGCTGCGAGAAACTGCTCATTTCACATAGTTTAAACCAAATCAAAAGCAAAGCTGTTCATTGATTCATCAGCAGTACACAATTAACTGTCAATCAGCAATCCATACATTCAGGATCAGTATCATTAATACAGCAGATAAACCACAGTGTGAGACACTTAAGTAATACTAGTAAGAACCTACACATTTCTAAATTGTCTTCTACTACTAATCCCCAGAAGTCCTAATAGTACCCTCAGCATCTTTACCCTCCAGCCCCAGATACGTGGGTTACAGTCACACACCATCTTTGAGGAGCACGGGTTTCTCTGCTAGCGCTCCCCTCCTTTTGCAGATGTGCGTCCTCCAGCTTTATTTGTACCTGTGTGGTTCTCTGTAGTCTGCTAAGTCACATGTGGGTGAGGGAGCCCCCTGCGAGGTCATGGCCATACACCTGAGGTGGGAGTCCCTACTTGTTGCACCCTGCAGTCAGTCCCTAGGTGCAGGGCAGACTGTTCACTGTCCCGCTGGTGGCTGCTCTGCCTGGCTGAGGCAGAGATCATGATGCATGCAGGGTGACTTCCAGCAGTGTCAAACCAGGTTTTGACTATTGTGTTTCTGCTCCAAGATCTCACTTGCGCAAACATTCATGCTGCTTTGGTACTTCCTTGAAGGATGATTCTGTGTGCTGCCCCTGGTTTGGTGTACTTGAGTAGCTTTTTTGAAAACATCGATTAAATGAATATTCAATGTGTGGTGGTTTGGGTTTTTTTTTGTATTGATGTGTACTTCTGTCAGCCTGTCTGACAGAAAGGATTCTGCAGTCCAAGTCTGCAAACCAGTGCAGTAGGGAGGGGCACTTTTACTTGTTCAAAAGGGTATTAAAAATGCACATATGCAGTTGCTTTAAATCTGACAGTTTATGCATTTATATCTTCAGTTAGCCCACTACATACTCAAAAATGGTGTCTTAATTCAGGGTGACCAGTTTTGGTCATGTGTTGATCAGAAGGCATGCCAAATGCAAGATAAATGGCTAACTCTACCAAAATTTTAGAAAAGACTCGGAGATGTCTAGAGGCTAATGACATGTCTGGTTTGAAAAGGATTTCTGGAACTGTCACCTGCACCAATTTTTTTTAAACGAAATGGTTTCAATCTCTGTTTTCTCTTATGTTGGTGTACAGTAGGACTAATTGAAGTTGGAGCCATTGTGGCATGTTACGGTGTATAGAAGTCTAAAAACCTTAATTTGTACACAGTCATAGAAAACCATTTGTGCCAAGTTCAATTATGTAGAAATCTTTAGAAATAACAAAATATATGTTAGTATAGGGTTTTTGGAAGGTGGTGTCATTGGATTTTTATCTTCATCTTTTTATTCACAATATGTAGAAGTCTGCATATATTATGTATTTCGTTTTATTTTTCAAATGTCATTCTACTTAAAAATTGGCAGATCAATCACATAGTTAAGGCAACATCTTGCCTGCTTCTGATTCTTTAAAATACATAGTTTGGATTTTTTTGGTCCAATCTGTTAAACCTCCTGAGCAGTTGCTTCTTTGATTCTTCATTCCTCCGCCTGAATAATCCTGGTTCATGTCACGTAAGGAGAAGCCTTGTACTCTGCTTCCTTCATAGAAGGTTGGGCTGAACTATGGTTTAAATTCTTCAGGATTTTTGAAATTACTGCGAATCGCTGCATTTTGGCACATTTGGTTTAAAAGCATATAAATAATTTTTTTCTTCTCTTCAGATGTGTGTGTTTTGAGCCTGAGAAACCCAGCAATGAAACTTTGCAGGTGTGGAGGAATATGAATAAATCTGTGGAAAATATAGCATGGAGTAACCTTACAGTTTCTGTGAGTATCTAAGAGCTATGT